TATTGTATAATTATATGATAACTCAATTCATTAGGTATCGTAAGTCTGATGACTCGTCTGACAAGTCTATTATCTCGTGAAGACAATGATTTGTGCCATAAAATCACTTTAGTTCAGGCAATAAAACCACATTATTATGCATTCCGATGGCTAACTCTTCTCCTATCACAGGAGTTCCCATTGCCCGGTATGTCAACCCATTCACACCAATCAAGTATTAAATTAAACAACATTTTGATTTCAAGTGTTTTCTCCCTTTTTATCTTTACTGGAAAAAATATTTTTAGATGTTTTAAGGCTTTGGGATTTCCTGTTCTCTGATGAAAAGCGATTCAATTTTCTACTTCAAACGTGTTGTGCAATGATTTGGTTTGTATTATCTAACAATTGTCTCTCTCTCTCTCTCTCTCTCTCTCTCTCTCGTCCCTTCAATTTCCTAATAATGTTTGTTTGTTAAACGTGTTTAGTTTGGTTCGCGAGGACCTAATGAGTGGTGACTTTGCATCCAATATGAAACTATTGCAGAACTTTCCCGAACGCATAGATCTCAACCAAATTATCAATAGAGCCAAACAAATACATATGACCTGAAGTTTTTATACATCAATTAAATGTAACCATAATAAAAGTATATTCAATTTTAGATCAAATTTTATGCATAATATTTGCAAAATATGAATACATAATCAATCCATTTATCAATAACTTACTACTAATCGGTTTTAAAAAATTTATTTATTTATACAATTGTTTTATTTTCTATAAAAATTTAACAATATTTTATTTAATGTACAATTTATTATAATAATAAACTTATTTATTAAAAAAAAGTAATTTTGAATTCTGTTTATTTGCGACAATTGATTGAAAAAATATTGTTCACTTAAATCCTGTGTAAACCAGAACTCTATGGCAAAAATATGTTTCTCAAACGGAGAGGGAATGTGAACAACAATTTTTTTTGACAATCATTTCATCAAAAACAAAATGTGATAAAAACAGGTTTAGATGTGTTGTGTATGTAATTCATGTCACTGTAAATCTGGAATATGATTGCTCTTCGAGTCGACTACTAGTCTCTATTCAATGGACTGAACAAAGTATTGAACTCTCGCCTCTTGAGTGAAAGTCCTCTTCAATTTGGTTACCATTGGGTGCCATACATTCAAATGACATTTTTGTTGCATAATTAAATGTTCACTTTTCATATCAAATATAATATTTTATATGACTTTTATCACACTTTCAAATCGGTTTTAGCTATAAATTCCAAAGTGTCTCGACCTAAGAGAGCCACGAATATTTCCTCTCTCTCTCTCTCTCTCTCTCTCTCTCTCTCTCTCATTGTATTATCTAACAATTGTCTCTCTCTCTCTCTCTCTCTCTCTCTCTCTCATCATTCACTCACTCAAAGGGTCAACAGTCCCGGACCGACGACTTCAGAGCAAATGCTAAATAATGTTTTTTCTTTCGATTCTTTCCTCTCATACTCTCACTTGAGAGTCGACTTTTAAACTCGTATTCATAGGAATCAAAGAAGCAATTGAATGGAGAAAATGGTTTTAAAGTGTTGTGTATTAATACTTAACCATTGAATTATAGAACGAAAAGGTTAGGTATAAATAAATATAATGTCTGTTTTGTATGAAGTCTTCGCACAAAAACAAATGCATTTTAATTGCTTTTGGGATAAAATTATTTTTTTTCTAATTTTAGAAATTAATTGTTAGACATAAACCATAAAACAATTTAGAGCTTTAACTATAACTAAACAAAAGGCTGGGATTTTGGCAAAACAACTAAAACACATGCAATTGTGAAGCAAAGAGTGGTTTTACGATAAGGAATATATGTTTTGTATTCCAAGAACTCAACCCTTTTTCATATCTCCAGACTCTTTCCCAGAGAATAATAATTTATTTAAAGGGCTATTTGTCCTCCAAATTACAAATTATTGTAATGTTTTCTCTTTTTTTCCACAACTCTTATCAAAAGAGTTTTAATGAAAGTATAAATGCATTATTATTTCATTAAAAAAAGAAAAAGTTAATTAAATCTAACATTTCTAATACAAATTCAAAACTGTTTTTAATATTTAATGAAATTTCATAACAAATGTTTTCGTGAATTTCATTTCCTATTGCAATGAATATATAAAATACTATTGCATTCACTTCTTATTAACTTTATATTTGCTAATGATTTAAATTATTTGTATAAAAAACATTTAGCACTCGAGTCCTTACCACTCACGACAATCGTTATATACTTCTATGTAAAGTCTGTTTAAAATATTCTGTGATTTCTCTCTCATAAAAAAGAGGCAAAATTCTAATAAAATTAAGTCCAAAAACACTTACATTTATCATAAATAAAGATTTGCAATGCATTTAAACATAAGTGTCAGGCGTTTGAGAGTAAGAAATAAATTTTCAAAACTAAAAAAAGAATTCTTTTAAAAATAGTTCAACAAAAAACTCTTACTTTTCTCGTTCTCTTTTCTTGCTCTCCTTTTTTAGGTCTATTTGTTTGTAATTTATAACAGAATTCAAGGAATTCATTGTCGACTCCCAGCCCTCTCTCACGTTATATTGATGTAAGTTTTTGTTATGAGAGAAAAAGTCGATGATATATGTGTAATCTGTTTGTGGTTGGGATCTGTTATGTTATATTCCTCTGACCTCTCCATCCGTCTTCATAAACCTATTTTATAAACCAAATCAAGGGTAGGGAGAGAGAGAGAGAGAG